TGTAAAGAATTTGTTCTAAAACACATCAACATAACCACTTTTAATAACATCCACCATCTTCTGCCAAAGACCATTCAAAACGATATACTATACAACTTACACTTGAAGAATAGTGACTAACAGACCAAACCCAATGTATGCTGTTAACCTTAGTTTGTCGTTAAAACTTTCATTCACTGCAAACGTAGGAACTTTTATTTGCAAATTAACTTATGGCAATCAAACGAAAAAAACGCAAATACCAAAAGCGCCACTGAGCCAAAAACAAATCTCGATTGCACAAAGCTTTCTGGCGATATCACAAATAAACCAACTTTTTTAATCTGGCATTTCAAAAAGAAATCAAAAAGATAAAAAAAAGAAAACAAAAATACAAAAAGAGAAAGGAAAACAAAGAACAGTAAAAACAACCCTTAAACTCTCAAGACTATCTTCGATTGACATGGCAACAGAAAGCAGAATATTGCAAAAATTACCGCTTCAAGTCAAGGCTGGCTTTTCATTTAAAAAAAAGTTTAGCTCTGAAGAGTCACACACGTTAGACAATCCCGCGAATTACACTTGTCAGATGACCACTTTCAGTGTAACAAACACATTTTATAGGAAACTGACTATCACAAAATTAACAAAAAACGAGGAAAAAATCTGATAAATGTCTATTAGGTAAGAGAAAGAAAGAGTAAACTTTGAAAATACTTAGCAATAAATTGCGCAAAAAAATCTCAATATACTTTAGTCTATTTTTCATACAACATTTAACGAGGCAAGATTAATAAAATGCACTAACACTACTGGTTTTTCTTTTGTACAACTTTAACAATATCAAAAGCAACACCTCATCGCGTAAATCTTAATCCTCCTCAATTTCTCATTATAACCCTTTGAAGTGAAAGAATACGAGAATCTTAAGCTCAAACAATCTTCAAATCCAGCAAAAACTAACTCACTTAACACAGGGATCAGCATTACCAGCGTGTCAACAAGCGTACCTTGAAAAACCGTAATAAGAATTAATTCTTAACCAAACCAAACAATACTGTCAAATATTTTCTGATTTTAAACTTCATCCCTAAACCTAAAGCGAAAATTTAAGCAAAATAAACACTGAACGCAAATTTCGTTAAACAGTGCAGTGCTAGAAAATATCTTCAATAAATGACAGTTGACCACTAGAAACAAATAAAGCGAAAATGATAACAGTATGATAACAGTAGCAACTCCTAAATGTGCCAAGCACCAAATACCAACAATGTAACCATTAGTTAACCCGCTTATGATCTTCATTGCGTTTGTGTCGTTTCACTCGTTACCAACGTTTTTGTATCAAGCGTGACTTCATTTGACGGCCTTCGAAGCGCCTTCTCTTTTTCAAGCGCCTCGGCTAAACCAGTATTCAACTTTTTCAAATCAGCCTAAAT